GGGAACATAGCGCGACCGGGGCCAAACCTTAGCCCCTCATGTGGGAGCCGAAAGTGCCAGCCATTCGGCCATTGCGCCCCCTCACGTTACTACGGTCGCGACCACACCCCTTGTCCTCGTCGTTGCAGCTGTGGCCAATTTAAACCGAATTTGAAGTATTTTGGTTTGATGGTCTCACTGGCGAAGTGTGGAGGCGCCTACGGAAATGGCCGCGCGTGCAAAAGCTCTGGAAATAGTCACCGCCAATATAAACAATATGCCGCACAGGGCTTCAACCAGAAGATATTCAGGGACGCCGTGCCCCACCATGCAGTGGGCTCTCTGAGGGCTTTGTTCAAACTGACAACCTCGACTGAGCCAGAACCACAACAAAGTCCGGCAACGCTTTCTGAAAAAAAATGCACGACAGAGCGTTATGGCCACGAGGTGAGAGTCCATCACTGGCGCCGCTAGATCAGATATACGCTCCGTCCGCTTCTGGACCGGCTCGGCCCTGAGCCGAGTCAGGCGGCTCACACCGCCGACCGCACACCACCGAGCGACCAATGGGAGCGAGCGAGCCCTCTTGAGGTCATGCCATGCGTCGACAAAGACTATGGTCAAAGATTTTATCATGATCCAGGGCGAGCGGACTGTACCAAAAAATCGCGTCAGGCTCTGCTCTCTGCAGTGTTTGAATCTTCAAATTCAGCACAACCCAGCGGACGCTTGATCGACTATGGAAAAACATGACACAAGGTGTGCGACGCCAGCAGCAATCACGAATGGGACACATGCAGGGATGCATGGCCACGTTTGTATGGTGTGCATTGAAGATGTACTTTGTTTGTTATTGGTAAAGCTGAGACGTCTATATGAAGTGGCGCCAGTGGTGAATTTCTGCACCACTTATACCGGCAGCCGGACCGCACCTGTCAGATAAAGTGATGCTAAATTCGCCAGCAACCGCTCTTTGCATCTTACACAGACAGGAATTGTTGATGCGGTTTTGTGCCGGGTTCAAGGGTTTCACGACCGAGCAGCGTAAGGGCCTTATCAGGATCATCGGATGATGAAAGCTGAAAGCCGGAGAACAGTGACTGGGCGCAACTGCGGCTTTTTCTGCAACAGATGAGGCTGCTGCAGCTCTAAAGGCACGGCTGCTCTTGCAAGAATAAGCCAAGAAAACCCACGTTCTCCTCAATCAACTCCGCAACCGCCGCGGCAAGCTGAAGGTATCGCAAACCACTACCGCTCTCAAAAACGACCGGGAGACCTTCTCTCAAACCGGCCTCCATCAAAGCGTGTCATGAGGTTCCGAGAACGCTTGAGAACCAAAATCGCTTGCTACATTTCTTTTAGATCTATTCATTTCATCATATCATTTCAAAATGATATTAATATGGGCTCTCAGCTAACAACACGGGGTCCGGGTGCAACAAAACCTTTGTGAAAGTGCTACCGGGTCTTTTAACCCTATCCAAAACCCATCGTGCGCAGGCATGGCTGCCATATTTTGCGTCGGGCTGACGTGTCTGCTATTTAAACCCTTATAATAAATAACTGTTTCTAATAACTTTGCAAGCATCTGTGTTCCTTAAAGTGATATGTGTTTGGAAGCGCTTCAAGTTGCATGATGTCATTTCGTCTGTGAGTGGTCAGCTAGGAAATGCTGCTAAGAAACTGGGCAACAAGAATAGGTAGTGGTGGCCCAGATGGACCCCTGCTTCTCATAAGCACGCTCCTTCAGAAAGTAGGTCAGACATTTCGCATGGCAATCTTCAATCTGAGGTCTGTGTATAAACATTCTGTCCAAACATGATTTTATTTTGGTGTTGCTTTCCGGGACTGCAATTTTCTACTCGTGTGTGTGTATGTGTATGTGTATGTGTATGTGTATGTGTATGTGTATGTGTATGTGTATGTGTGTGTGTGTGTGTGTGTGTGTGTGTGTGTGTGTGTGTTTGTGTATGTGTTTGTGTGTGTGTATGTGTGTGTGTGTGTGTGTGTGTGTGTGTGTGTGTGTGTGTGTGTGTGTGTGTGTGTGTGTGTGTGTGTGTGTGTGTGTGTGTGTGTGTGTGTGTGTGTGTGTGTGTGTGTGTGTGTGTGTGTGTGTGTGTGTGTGTGTGTGTGTGTGTGTGTGTGTGTGTGTGTGTGTGTGTGTGTGTGTGTGTGTGTGTGTGTGTGTGTGTGTGTGTGTGTGTGTGTGTGTGTGTGTGTGTGTGTGTGTGTGTGTGTGTGTGTGTGTGTGTGTGTGTATGCGTGTGCAGGGGGAAACCCTTGCTCAACTTTTGCAAAGGAAGAGGCTCAAGTTCAGAAGCCCACCCTCTTTTAAAGGGAGTGTTTTACATTTGCATGGGATTTTGGATTGAAACAACCATCTTTAAGATCATTCGGAACAGCTCAGTCATGCCCTTCTTAAGACCTAAACCTCTCTAGTTTCTAGGCTACTTGCTCCAAAAGATGTGCAGACTTTTCTGGGAGACTATTTCAGGGTCACCTAGGCCTCCATGACGCCATAATAACGTCATTTGAATCCTGCCATTCCAGTAGCCATGCGGCGACTGAGGCCAATAAAAATATAGTTGTCGATTCGTTTATATCTGGCGTTGGCACGTTGACATGACTTCCAGATATAACGCCATCAATTGCCTCTCAACCCATGTTGTGCCAGGTACGATGACGTGATGAAACGATGAGAAATTGAGGAGCATATTTACTACCCAAAGAAACGTTGTTGTCTGCAACAGCCTTTTCCAATTATTCCGATTCCACACAAGTATACCAATGGTAAGAAGTGAGTTTCTTTCATTATACATGATGCTTGCTCCGATATCTTCAAGTGTACAACATTCCTTTTAAGGGTCAGGCTTAGCCATTTTCCCTCCTCAGTCCCCCTCTCTCCCCCCCCCCCCCCCCCCCACCCAGCTTGTCCAGCAAACTGCGGTGCCGCTGGCTTGGACCTCTCTACACTGCCCACCGCACCGCAGATTCAGGGAACTGATCGGATGACAGCCGGCAGGTGTAAGGTAGAACACTTTTTAATGTCATTTTATTGTACAAAGAGCTAACTGAATGTGATAGAAGTGTTAAAAGGCATCTGCTTATCCTTTATAGCACGGGTTTTATGCTAGATTTCATGCTAGATTTTGTCGATGCAGACAGCTATAACCTTTACCATGATATGCAGCATTAAGGTCTCGAGAGTACTTCTTCCTCGTTTTCTTATAGGTAAATTACTTCTGAGTAACCTCCTTTCACATGAGACAACTCGTCCCTCCTTGGGGTAAATTGATCACATGATGGGGTAAGTTGGTTTGTTTTTTTTTGTTGTTATTTGTCATATAGTAAGTTAAATCTCAAGAAAGCTGAATGCGTTACGACGTACGAATCGAATGTGCTTGTCTGTGCTTTTCCGCAATTCATTACGATTGCGACAAGAACAATTTTGTCTTTTTTATCAATTATTAGTTTGTTTTTCTCTCACTTATTCCTCGGTTTCCGTTGATCGGGTAGAAATCACGGGCCTACGTGGGCAATGTGTACGTCGACTTGTTTTCTAGGTGACAAAAGCTTATGGTAGTCATGTCAGCCAATCATCAACGAAGGTCAGTCAGTAACACTGTCGGTAATTGCATCACTGGTCCAACGTGCTCCATGCATGGCTGATGCATGGAGCACGTTGGCTGACCATGTACCAGCTGACTTCTTGGAATAATGCTTGCGCCATCCCGAAATGCTTGGCATGCTAAATGTGTTGTGGTATATACAACACATGTGCCTCCTCACCTCGCAGTATAGCATTGAGATTGGCCTAGTCGTGCCGTAAACCCCCAAACACATATTTACACTGATCGCTATAGTTTTCAACGATAGGCAAAAAGCATATTTGCCGCGATCATGTCTGCACGAATGCATGTACTAGGCCGGAAGTACACTGAACGGTGGAGGGAGCTGCTGTGCGCCGGTTGAGCGGCCCAAGGCTGCCACCCATCATACGGATTTCGAAAAGATTACCCTGACACCACTTGGACATGATATAACTCACCCCACTCTCCCCTATTAGGAAATAACATGGATTAAGTGCTTAGTTCTTCAAGTATGGAACATTGTCAACGCTTATCATGACCAGGGAAGCGGACTCAGGGAAAGGAACAGGAAAGAAGGAAAGAAAGGAATACGAGCAGTGAGCAGTGAGCAGAGCAGTGACGCACCAATGCAAAACCAAACAAAACATAATCAGCTACGCCGGAAGAAGGCAACGCCATTCCACTTCCCGACGCGTTGTCTCGCATTTTGACACGAACACAATCCAATTTTAACCAAAAGTGTATCGTAACGACGGCTGGCGCCGTGTTCGTGAAATATAAACATTATATAAACATTATTGGTTGTGCCCGTCTGCGCGCACCAGTGTTTGTACCAAACTTAATTTGATTGTGTTCATTTCATACACCCTGCACTCCGCGATATTCCCAGGACTGGAACCAAAGGAAAAATCCCTCCCTATCTGAATTCGTGGGAAGGTGAGGTTTTTTCCTACTCTTTTGTCCTCCTGCTTCTTCCATAACTTTGCTTCTTACGACTACATCATTCTCAAATATTTTGGCTTGCGCGCGAGCCTGGTGGGGGGCAGGTACCGTGCCACAAAGGGCGCTTTCACCGTGGCATGTTTGTTCGTGACGTTACGGACGGAGACAGAGAGCGCAAAAGCGGCAATATGTTTTCAAAATGAAGGTTTTCTGCTCGTTCTAATAACATGAACTTATAAAGCGTTTCTGGTGGTCCCAACCGCTGTATGCCGCTTAACTAACCCCCCTGAACATTTGCGGACTTGTGAAGGCCCAGTTACACATGCCATACAGATAGGGCGAACACCATGACCCATGCATCGACAGATCATCTCATACATTGTCATCCGCTGAATAAAACCATCGTCCACTATCGCAGCATTGTACTCGTACTTGTTGGCCCTCAGAACTTCGGTTCCCTAGTGACGTTGGTCGATGGTTTGTCCCCTGTTATCGCTAGCAGCGTTTATTTACTTAATCAGGCACAACAGGAGTGAAAACCCACCCGATATGACACCTCAGTAAATATCTTAAGGCACACGACGAACATAACCGTGTGCGGCGCGAATGGCTCGCGTTTTTGCAACGATTTCCAGTTGCATGTGTCGTAACCACTGGCCTTCGGCCGGACAGAATGTTTATACACACGATTATCATACGACGGATAGCAGTGTCACAGCCAACGTTTGACGCGTGCGCCCTAACTGGCGTCATCTTCGGAGGCCTCCAAGATCGTGTTCAGGTCCTTAGTGATTTTGCCAAGCAAATCACGGTGCTCCGAGTTCCGGGCAAACACTGCGTCCAGAAACCGTGGCTCGCGGAAGAACGTGAACACGTGCTCGATACGCGAGAGCGTCTTATCGGTCAGGTGTCGTTCCACCAGCTTGGTGAGCATGGCCTTCATGTCCAGCAGGCTCTGTGTGATGAAGCTGCGATCGTAGCTGAAGTCGATCTGGTAGAAGCTGATGATGGTCATGGAGGTCATCTGGAACTTGCGCTGGAACTTGGCCGCCAGCACCATCTCGTCATGGTCGAACTGATCATTCTTGTTCAGGATTCCCACTTTGACGACCACTTTGATCAGGTTCTTGATGACCTTCTCGGATTCCTTTTTGTTACCGGTCTGCGGGGAACACCATCAGCGCCGCATCACCGTTAACCACGCCTGGCAGCCAAACCCTGACAGACCCGCCAGCCCGCGCCCGACACCTGTCGCGACAAACCACACCGCTTCGTCATCGATACACACACGTTCCGAAATGTAAACAAGGTGCTCAGTGACCACGCATTTCACGGCGACACAACAGGCGCTGCTATTGTTTACTCTAGACCATAAGGCAGGTTCCCTGCCAGTCAGTCAGACAGCCCCAGCCGGTTAGACTTACCACGCCTTTGCAGAGCTTAAAGAGGTTGTCGAGGATCTGGCTGGTGGCGTCGTCCAGCAGCGTCCTGGCCACCGTCTTGTTGCTGATTTTGCTAGCTAGCTTCTTTTGGACGCGCAGGCCGATGTCCTTGGCTCGAAACTCGCTCATGACTAGCGTCTGGCAAAGGCGGCACCAATGTCAGCGAACAAAAGGGTCACATGAGCCGCAGCTTTGTAGCAACACATTTAAACAAACGGACCTCAAACCAGAAAAAATTCAACCATCTGTAAACGACATCCTGGACCTCTCTGGGACCAGTCACGTTGACATGCATTCTATACAAAGACCAATGGTGTTTAAAAATGCTAACGAGTTATGTTAGAAGTCGACGACATTTGCATAGGGGTAACGCAGATTAGCATGCAACATGGAAGCAGCCAACATGTTAAGGTGCATCGTGAATTGGTTTGGGAAATATGTTGTTAATCTTTCTCTACAATGTTGGCTCCATTTGTCCGACCAGACTTGTTCGATATTCTGCTCTGAAAAGACCATCTCTACGCCGAACATTGCCTTCCATAGCTATGATAGGTTTTTCCAATATTCACCGCATCCGTAAAACTCGTGGCAACTGAAAAGCCCACATCCTTTCTCGTTCCAATACCGTTAGCTGATCAGCATGGATTGGCTCACATGTCTCCGGTTGCTTAAGGCACAACCCGTCGTAGAGCCTCCGCCTGACAGCGCCGAGTGTGGACGCTATTGTTCTATAGATTGCGGGTATCTAAACCAGCCGGAGCGCCGCCATTTGTGAAAGCGGTCCTTGTAGTCCGCCTACGGCCTCGTCACAGTAGACATGTGTACACTCAATTGGAAGCCGCACAGAAAACTCGAGGCATAAAGCAACAAAGCCACGACTCGGTTTATTTAGAGAGCACGCGGAATGAGATCGCAGCTTCCCGGGACGCGACGGCAGCCCGCCGAGCGCACCCACAGCGAGAGAGTCGACCTCCGCCCGTCAGCGTGACTCGGCTCCTTCCGTTAGATCGACGCTGGCCCAGATCGGTCGCCGGGTCGGCCGCGACGGCGGCCGCCGCGCCGCCTCGCCCCCGCCCCGCCCCGCCGGGTTATCGCCCCGTTCGGCTCACCGTCTGGCTCGCTCGACGCGACCCCGGTCCGCGGCCGGCGATGAGCGCGGCGCGGCGGCGGCGACCGGCGGCGCGCGGGGTCGGGAGGGCGCGCGGCTCGGCGGCGGCGGCGGCGGCGAGTGGTGGCCGCGTGAGAACAAGCAGCCCGCGAGGTGCGGAGCGCCGCGCTCCCTGCCGACCTGCCGACTCTTACCGGGGAGCTAGCAAACGCGGCGGCGAGAGGCCTGGCGTCTACGGGGGCGGGTGAGAGTACGATCGGGCACGGTATAAGCGATTGTTTTCGTTGTACGCCTTGGCGTGGGCTTAATCATCCTGTACGCCTTGGCGTGGGTTTAGTCATCCTGTTTGTTTACGGAGGCGTCGCCCGAGATTGCCTGTGGGTTCGAAGGTACTGTGGCTGGTTGAAGTGGTCAGATAGCCACGCGTGTTGCGGCAGACCATACGTGGGTTGGGGTTGGCGGTGGCGGTGGCGGTGGCGGTGGCGGTGGCGGTGGCGGTGCAGGTGCAGGTGCAGGTGCAGGTGCAGCTGGACGTGAACGTCGACGTGGACGTGGACGTGGATGTGGATGTAGAGGTGGGGGTGGAAGCGGGGGAGGGGAGGGAAGGGAGGGGAGCGCTATTCCCCAGTGTGTAAGCAATAACTTGCGCCTGCAACGGGATTGGTATTTCTTTTTACGAATTTAGTCCGTATCTCTTGACTGAATCGACTTCTGAGATGTGCACCCACGCTACGGAGTGCCTACTGCATGAGACCCGGTTCCAACACCCGATCGTGAAATTCCGGTTCAAAAGGCCGAGTTTAGCGGCGGAAGCTCAGCGTGCCGTGATGTTTCGCACGGTCTGCCCTACCCCCTGACATCACCCGACCTTTAGCGCGGCCGCTGCAAGCAGCTGCATTTCATCCCAGGTAGGGGCAAATAGCGAGCCCCTACACCCTAAAGCGACTCAAACCCATCTAGCCACGGGTGGGTGAATCGGAAGCCAGACACTCCCAAGTAAATGAGCCACCGGAACAGCACCAGAGCAACAGAAGAACAGAATAGATGGAAAGCAAATCAAAATCTGTTCCGAGCCACATTTACTCACGCAGTATTTGGGGTCCGTAATCCGAATATGTTTTGTCCAAAGATATTTGCGTTCGGCTATTCATTACCCCAGATAACCATTTGTGCATCAGCGAAGACGAATGACGCTAATAGCCCAGGGCTATATATATATATATATATATATATATATATATATATATATATATATATATACTGGCATGCTTTTAAGTGGAAAACACTGTTTTAGGCGACACAAATTTGATTTTCGGTAACTATGCCCTTAAAGACGTCATTGTTTGATTATGTCATTGAACGTTCTCATGGCGTTCTTGCGTATTTATCCTTGAGTTTAAGATGTTTACTTGCACTCACGTACTCTGCTATGGCGCTATTCTGAACTTATTTGGTTACAAGTCTTATTTCCGCAATAGTTTGTAATTATGTACCGCTTCTGATACCTTGTGGCACTAAATGTGATGTGATTCGAGATCGAAATTTGTACAGCTTGCTTTGCAGTGATTCAGAGTAGGTTGAACTCCACTATACTTGGGAGCCGTGCTGACAGACGCCAGATCTGAACGGCTCGACGACAATGTTCTTTCTGGCCTTGAACGCTGTATGGCCAACGGCGAAACAGGATTTGAATGGCATTGCTATGGCGTCATGCATGCTTGAATGACCTTGAAATATTCCGCACATCAAAGCCCGAATATATTCGCGGGCATGTAGCTCAGAAAACTGAGTATTTCATGTCTTAAGAAGGGCAAGGCTGTGAACTGCGGCAATCTTCAACATGGCTATTTCGGTTCAAAACCCCACACAAATGTGGAACACTCCCTTAAACGAGGTAGTGCCACCTTTGATGGATACTTCAAAAACATGCTCTAATGAAACCGTAGGGCCGTTTATGTCAAATAGTAACACGCCGCGGCAGCACCAACAACATATTGCTTCTTATTTTCTGTTTCATGATACGCGGCCTATATTTTGGCACAGCACATAATTTTTTTTCTTTGTTGCCCCAGATTTTATTTCTGGAATAGGAATTTCTGGAATCAAGCACATACAAGACAATCCAGTCAGATATTCATCCTAGCCTTCGTGACTTGTGTGGCTCCACGTCAATCTCGTTCAAAGGTGGCATGACAGACGGTATTACTAATAGAAAAGGCTTGTGAACACCAACTATCTGACTTTGGTACACATCAAGTGAGATTGGCGAAATGAACTATGTCCTTTCTGAGTATGAATGACGTCAGAGAAATGAACGTTTGTGATTGTCACAAACGGGCGACGTTTGTGCCCGCTTTCGTAAGTCATTTAGCAAGAGGTGCACTGTGACAGCTTAAACCTGAGCGTCGCTGGACGACGTGACATGCTGGTGGCATAAACCTGCCGTGTAGGCACGGCCTTGTAACGATGTGAGCATTCAAGTATTCCAAATCCAAAGTAATTTTCGAAAACAGACATTGTGCAGGATGCCTTGGGGGATAACTCCATCGTACGACGTTTCCTTGAACTAGCCTGATATTGACCTCATATTTGCATATATTTCCCTAATTGTTGTTCTTTAAACTCTCATATAAATTCATGCACAACCATTTTTGATAATTAGTGTATTGCGAACATTACGCAGCACGCATATCGAAAAGAGCAGAACAAATAAGAAGCATCACTTTCAAAGCGGTGAGTGGTGAGGCCGATATCATTTCTTCCCTCGAAGCAGCTATTCAAAATCAAAATTCCGAGCAATTCAGGACGATTTCAAGAAAACTAGTGTTTCCGACTGGATTCAACACGTCTGTCCAACTAGGAGTGAAAAGTACAAAAAGGAGGCATGCTCCATTTAAGAGGCAACGTTTCGCCCTCATGTGGGGTTTTGAAGTGAGGTAACCGGATTGTAAAACAAACAGGGGGAGATCATATCATCAGTTTGTGGTCATATTGCTATTGATAGCTAAGGTGATCTGGTCACCGAGCTTGCGAACAATTAGCTTGGTTGTATGTGGGTCGATGTATGCTCCTAACATGCACCACAAGCGATGATGACACCCAGATGCGGGAAAGGCACCGATCGGTCCATGGATGCCGCGCGCCGCGGTCCCGGTCGGCCGCGCGCTGGAACGCCACGTTCTAATCTTGCAGCAAAGTTTTGCAATTCCTTACACTCTTTGTTCGAAAGGAATAGCAGGTGCACTCTTCTTGCTCTCTGTCGAATCATGCATTCCCCACTTTTATCAACTGAAATGTGATGATTTCATTGAATATCTCCCGATAAGGCACCATCATCTCACTACATCAGAGTGTGTATGTGCTGCTTTCATTCATCGCTTCAAGTCGCGGCAATGACGAATGCCTAAGGGATGAGCAGAACTCGGCTGCTATTTACGCCTCCTCACGCCGTTCTCGATATCAGACGACAAAAAACCGACGGGTGCGAGTTCCTCGCTTTTCAGTGTGCAAAATGCCACATCCTCCACCCACACAATACTGGACACGAGCCATCACTGGCCGTGCTTTGCTCTTGAGAGCTGTAGTGATACCCCGCCACTGGGCGCGTGATGGGCGGGATAAGGAGTAAGGACAATGCCGGGGCAGTACATCGTCTACCATGTGATTGGATGGGGTCCTCGCAGGTGTCATATCACAATATCACGCGGTGTTCGACGACCGGTATAACCATATACAATCCTGACTTTTTACAATGTTTGTTTTTGTTCCCGTTCCAACTGTAGTGGGCTGGTATAGCGTTGGGGATTCGATGCATTTTGGGAATAAAAGCTGGGATTAGTGGCATCGGATTCGGATTTGAATATATTCAAATATATCCATTTCAATCCCCAGCAAATTCAGAGCATTGAACAGCAGGACGAACGATTCATTCCGATGCAGAACCGACACGAACGTGTTGCATTTCGTTTATCCGACCAAAGTGTAAACCTGGATAACATTTGGTACAATTACCCGAGCACTTCAGTAAGGGCATTCAAATTTCCGTGCAGTTTTTGGAACTCCACTCCTGATTTTCCGGGTTCAAATCGCCGCTTTTAGCATTCGAGATCCTCCGCGATTCGAATCGATACAAATCCTGCGCATCCGGATCCTTAACTGTAAGTGGTAAGCAACAGGACATGCCCAGAGCGATGCACCACCTGTACCCAACACTAAATCACCACTTATGAACTATTTATTAGTATTATTTGTATTACCATCATCATTATTATTGTTGTTATTGTCATCATTATTATTTATTATTGTTATTATTATTATTATTATTATTATTACTGCGAACCGTGGCGAAATCCAGCGAGTGGCTATTCTAACGCCGCGACAGTACATGTCACATAGATAAACGCAGAATACGCACCACATGCAAATGGGACGCGACGCCAGCGACACACATACGATGTTATAAAGCATGAGCGACTAGCGACACAATCAGCACCTGCACGTCATGGCCAGTTGGTCAATTTAGGTAAGTTCTCTGATGTAAGACATTGCTTTGCCCTTTAACTCATTTAAGCGTTTGCACTGGCGCGTGGCAGCAGGGAGGCGATTCCACGCCGCCACGGCTAGATAGGGAAACGCCCTTTTCACGCACTCGCACTTTAACTTCACGCACTTTAAGCGAGGGTGCTTTACAGCGCCCTTATACAGTACAGTTTCGTCATCGGTGGCTCTGGTGTGCCGCTGAGATACTTCAGATCGGCGCCTGATCAGATTACTGATAGCCCGTGGCCCATCAGGCACGGACATGGCGCGATGCAAACATATGCAGTCGCGGTGGGCGACAGTCTCGTCGAAATTGGGATAATTTAGCCGTTTTCGGGATTCCGTGATGTGATCTCGTTTGCATTTGCCGGCAACAATTCTGACCGCGAAGTTATAGCCTTATCTGTCAATTAATAGCCTTTAATATTTCTTCTGAGTTACGTGTTCCTCCAAAGCATGGTCGATCAAGGATCCATTGGCTTTATCCTAATGACTGCAGATGTTTAGTGAGCCATTTTCAGCGAGAGACTCCACATACACCTTTTTTGTACGGTAATACTCTAAAATGGGACGCAGCTCTAAATTTCCACTCCTGATGAACGCCTGCTGGAGCAAAAACCAGACAAGACACGACATACTAAGTACTTGGAATACTTGGGGAACAGAGAGCATGGCCGTTTTCTCCCGAAACATGTAACAATAAAATATCATAGCTTCAACGGCAATAACCGTACACCTATTTCACTGCGCAGTTTCACTGCGCCAACACCAGTGGTCTAGGCAAGTGCGAAACTTCGAAGACCACGTCGCTCCTTCTTTCCCCCCGCCCCCTCTTCCGCTCCCCTTCCACGAAATCCTGTATGCTACGCTGTTCCTCTCCACACCAGTTCACGAGCATCGACCGCCCAGCACGTTCGAGGCCCAGCCGCCCCGCGTGGGGCCCAGCCGCGCGCACGGGCCGCGCGGTGTCCTTGGCGAACGGACGCCGGTTATGCAGCGGCGCGCTCTCCGGGGCCTCCGCACCTGCGGGGAGCACGAGCCCCCGCCGGCGGCACCGCGGCGCCTGGCTCCCACTGCACCGACGGCGCGCCCTCGGCTCCCCGACGGACCAACGGCATGACGTGGCGGTCGGCGCCGCATCCACGGCACGGCACGGCACGGCACGGTGAGGCGGACGGTGGGTCCGAGCGTGCCGCGGCAAGCGGGACGGACAGCGGCAGCGCGCGCTTCTCCTCGGACAGCGGCAGCGCGCGCTTCTCGAACTGACCGCCGCCGGCGCGGAAATCGGCCACCGGTCTACAGTCGGCGGCGGCGCGGCCGGGTCCAAGGTCAAACGGACGGACCAGACGAAGTAGGTTAACGGGCCGGATCGGTGATTTAGTGACGAGGGCGTTACTGGTCTGGTGCGGAAACCAGTGAGCATCACGTTCTTCTCGTGCTGTCAAACCCGGGGCTTCGTATTGCCTCGGGGTCTTGAAAGCGACTTTGATCCGCAGTCAACACAGTCACGTGACACGTTCACGGAAGTTTTTCCTTGCACCGAGCCATCTTCAACGGTAAGCACAGCTCAAACTGTAAACAAGATAACGGCAGATACGCCGGCGCGGCGAACGTCTCACCTTCTGTTTCGATCCGTGCTATACGACGTCCATGCGGCGACGGGTGAGGACAGGACCTCGGGCGGCAGCTCACCCCTCCGCACCACCCCAGCCGGACTGGAGCGCGACGGTCGGCAGCTGCGCCTCTCACGCGGCTCCGCACCACAGCTGCCCGTCGCCGCGCCGCCAGCCGCGCCCAGCAGCTGACCGTTCGCCGCGGGCACCCGCCCGCCGCGCCTGCCACCTGCCGGCGGCGGCCTCAACCAGCGACGCCACTGCGCCGCGTCGCGGGCGCGGGCGGCCGTGCGGGGGGAGAGCGGGAGGAGCTCCGCTGACTGCGCACCGCACGCGGAGAGAGAGAGGAAAGAGTGTCGCTCTGCTGGGAAGACCGGGCGTGAAACTGCTGTCGGTGTGGCTCGTATGACTTGGCGGCCTTGGCTTAGCTGCGTTCCAGGTGCAGCGGTCTTCATGGTGATTGAAATTCAACTCACTTTCCAAAAATCGAGTTTGAATGGGATCCGGTTTGGTCGCTGTCACTTGTTCTTCGAACGCGGAAATCGGCCGTTACCAATTCTGTGCGCCTCGCAGCGCCGTGGGCGGACGGGACCGCGCTGCGTTGGCGGAGCTCTGGGGTGCCTTGGGCAGACGGGACCGCGCTGCGTTGGCGGAGCTCTGGGGTGCCGTGGGCGGACGGGACCGCGCTGCGTTGGCGGAGCTCTGGGGTGCCGTGGGCGGACGGGACCGCGCTGCGTTGGCGGAGCTCTGGGGTGCCTTGGGCAGACGGGACCGCGCTGCGTTGGCGGAGCTCTGGGGTGCCGTGGGCGGACGGGACCGCGCTGCGTTGGCGGAGCTCTGGGGTGCCGTGGGCAGAAGGGACCGCGCTGCGTTGGCAGACGGGACCGCGCGCTGCGTTGGCGGGGCTCTGGGGTGCCGTGGGCAGAAGGGACCGCGCTGCGTTGGCAGACGGGACCGCGCGCTGCGTTGGCGGGGCTCTGGGGTGTCGTGGGCAGAAGGGACCGCGCTGCGTTGGCGGGGCTCTGGGGTGCCGTGGGCAGACGGGACCGCGCTGCGTTGGCGGACGGGACCGCACTCTGGGGTGCCCCGTCGCACCTGGGACATGTTGACCCTGACAGCTTGTGACTATGGATGACGTGCAAGGATGGATCCAGCATCAAGTCTCCGGGGGGGGGGGGGGGTCTCGAAGAGGCGCGCAAACACCGCGAAGACAAGCCGGATGAAGGCAAATGTGTATTTCTCACCTGTCCTCCTGGAAAGCTCCGCTGCCGCGCTCAGCACCTGGATCCCTGCCTGAAAACGTGAAAACGTGCTCCGCGGCTACGTGGCAGAATGAGCCTGACGGCCCATTTACCATGGGGGGACAATGCCTGGGGGGCCCACAACTGCTGACGAAGGCCAAGTGTTGGCAAGGGGCCTGGATTCGGCCAGAGGCAGTGTTTGAGGAGGCCCGAAGAGCCTGGAAGGCCCACCAAGTCAAACGATAAAGGGCTCAATTGAAGTCTCTATGGGCGCAAAGGGCTGGTCGAAGTCTTATTCAGTGGCCCCGGACTGCGAGACGGGCCCTCAAATGGCAGTCAAAGAGCCCTTGGGGCCGATCGAGGACCCCTGGGTCGATGTGGGCTTGTATGTCGGTCGGGTACCACCAGTACCGCACGGTCAGCTCCGTATCGTTATGGGCCTGAGGGCTCACTTCCCCATCAGCTACAAAGCCGGGGCCGGTGACAGTAACTGGTAGGTGTCCCTGTATCCGCCAGGGGCCCGCAGCGCCTAGCAGAGCGTTCTGTGTCCACAAGGGGCCCCGAATCGACCCAGTGTTTGATGAGGCTTGAAGAGGGGCCCGGGCGGCTCAACGGAACCGATAATCGAAGGCTTGGTTGGAGGGCGTAAGGGCCTGAAGATCTGTGGGTCACATATAGAATCACAGCACGCGGTGTCGTGACCTGAAATATCAGTCCGGGATCCTCTTGCACTGCTTGAGGACCAACTGAGACAATACGGGTGTCTAAATCGGCCAGAGAAGACGAACACCGAACACTTGGCTCCCTGTCCATCTGAATCCTGGTGGTCCATTCCCCAACCAGAGGCAAGGCTGGGGGCCACGATTTTCATTGGTCTGGATCCCACAAACAGTGGTTGGAGCCCTGTGTTGGTCAGGGGCCCACAGTGTATAACAGGTGGTCAAATGTCGGCTAGCGACCTTAAGTCGGTCACGAGCTTCGTTTGATGGAGGTTCCCTTGGGCCCAGACCAAGGGCCCGATTGGACTAACGGTTAGAGGACATCTAACAAGGACTGAGGACAAAGATAAAGCGTTCCTCTATTTCGGCCAGAGGTCATAAACACTGAACAGACTGCTCCGTGTCGTTCTGAGCCCTGGGGGGTCCATTTCCTAATGAGAGACAAGGCCAGGCCCGTAATTTACATTTGTCGGGGCCCCTGCAACAATGCGAGGCTCTGTATCGTTCAGGGCCCCACAGTACCCAACAGGATATTCCGTGTCAACAAGAGACCTCGAGTCGGCCACGGGAAGATCTGTTTGTGCAACAGGGACGAGGACGAGACCTCGAATGACAGACGGCCTCTTGTGTCGGTCAGGGCCCTCTGACAATTAATTGAAACACGAAATATAATGATTATTGTTCACATCGAGGCAATCAAAGTGGTTATGTGCTAGTCAGGGCCCCCAGTGCCGACCGGTGAGCTCTCCAACCCATTTCTAGCGTGGGTCCGTTAAGCCGAACTGAAGCCGACATGTCAATTATTTGACCATCTGGGACGATCAGGGATGTTGTTCCGTCAGTGAGGGTTCCTGTGTCGATCCGGGGTCTACTGCGTTCCGCGCAGGCCAGAAGGCCTTCCGCGTCAGGAAGGGGATTGATGTGATAGAATGTATCTCACTAAGGGTCTCCGGATCGGGCAGGGCATTCCGCCCAGTGTCTCCAGGGCGGCATTCCGCCCAGTGTCTCAGGAGACGTCCCGTGGCGGGACGGAATGGCCCTTCAGCCCTTGACCGGAAACAATAATGTCCTAGTGCTCTATTCAAGGTGACCCCCTTCTCAGAAAGAAATCAGAAGTCTCATTAGTGTTGAATTAAGTAGGTCGAAATGAGTTCAAAAAGGAACAAGGCCATCCCATGCTTATCTGAAAGCGTTTATTCTCCTTGCAGAATCGACGAGTTAAACAAATTAAATCAAAAGCTTTCAGCCCACGCGTCCGCAATCTTTGTAGCAAGGACAGTGACGGCCCGGGTTGCAGTTTCCTTAAAACGGAACGGCGTTGACCTCTGCGAGTAACACCCCCGCTCATGACGGGCGCCGTGCACGCGAGAACGACGGTCGCAAAATGAGGGCTCCGAATGTCTTTCAAAACTAATTCAAGCCTTTCAAAGATGGGACTGGGCGCATCTTTTTTGCAACTTAAATGTTTTTTCTCTGGACAAATTAACAGTTACAGCAACACGAAAAGAAGAGAATCTACCTTTTCTCTCCCAATTCCACCACCAGACTCTAACACTACCTCGCGATGCTGTAAAGGCCAGTCCGTTCTCATTTTCAATATAAAAATCGCACAGGTGAAGCATACGCCTGGAATATGTATTCGATGATGACAAGAATTATCGGTCGGACTGCCTCACACGCAGCGATGAACTGCCGCACACGACGCCGACAGGGAGAGGCCCACCCTACGCGTCCGAGCAGCACCTTTTATACTCCTTCCAAGGCTCATACCCGCAACACGATCTGCGAGCGACTGGCCGGCGCCACCGTGACGCACCGCCCCGAGCCGTGATTGTTCTCCTCACTCAGACATGAGTCATCGCCCCACTCGCCTTACATGTTGACACACGGTCCCGGGGCATGGTCCACCGCTACAGAATACCTTCAAACTATACGATTTAGTGCCTGAAACGTTGAACAGTACCTATTTTATATTCGTCATCATTTTCGGCCATCCGTTGGGCACGACTTAATGTCGTCTGCGGAATCAACGCTGCACTGTCTATGGAGACTGCAACGCATGACATCAGGGTTTTGTTGCTCATATTTGCGAGCGCGCATGCTCAAAACTATGTTACATAATTGGTCCCACTAATCAATTCTGAGCCAATGCTGAACATTTCCAGACAACAATCGCTCAGCCGTGTTAAAGCAACTTGTTGAACCACTTCGGTCTACATTCTCAGGGTTCTTAATACAGCCCAGATAGAGATTCTGACAAAGCTTTTGAGTTCAGTTCAGAAATAGTCCATTGGACCAATGTGACATGTTGAAAAACGCCGGTAATTTGTTTGATGTGGTCGCTTAACACAACATTTATTTAGTTTATTGACAATAAAAGTCAGCCAGAATTGATCTCGCGGTAGCTTCTGGCTCCTATTTCATTATAGAAAGCTAAAATGAAAAAATATCAAAGAAAAATATCTCCTCATTAACATATTGGCCATATGCGGTAATTTTTGCCTTTTGGGGGTCTTTTTATTATCATGGACCCTTCGTCAGCAATGTGCCCCTCCCCCTGCCAAGGCTCTGGATGCGCGCATGCTTAAGGATGTCTCCTGAGAGGAAAGCCCAGGGGGAGATGGAAGATGTTGTTCGCTCTGAATCCACCATAACACGTTTTGGGGCCTAAGTGAATGTCCTGTCGCTTTGCTTTATATATATATATATATATATATATATATATATATATATATATATATATATATACCATCAGCTGTTTTTGGCTAGTGCACAATGTTGCCTTCTCGACTCATTCTTATCTTTCGTCGAACAAGAATGTCTAGTTTCCTTATATTTCCTACTCATCTATCTCAGCATTGTTTCCACTGGGAAGGCAAAATTCAATGAGCGGGGAGGTATTTTGGGCCACTGGAAAGGTATTTGCAAGGAAAGTTTTTTGCAAGCCTGGATTTCGCTGGCTTACATAAAAGAGACGATTTTTGTCGCAGCATTCTAGGCAGAACCAATTGAAAGCTCCCAGGGACGCCCCGCTAAAAACAAGGTGACAAAAGCTATAAAATCGAGTTTCTCGTGTAAAAACTAAGGCACTTTAGATAGTCGTTGTCTCAGCCCAGCGGTGCCCTCCACTAGCGGCCACCACCTTGGACCGGCTGCTCGTCGGCGACAGCCGCCACCCGCATGACCGACTGCGAGCCGATCGTACG